ATGACTCTGAAGGTCGCGCACCGTATCTGAGTACCAAATTGATAAGCATTTCCGGCATGCCCTCTTCCTGTTTTCAAAGGAAGGTAAGTCCGGTTTTGCTAATGTGCACACAAATATAACTGTCATTGGAAGATCTGGAACCCGCAAATATTCGATTTGAATGATCGTTGAAGTGCTCAAGCGAGACATATCTTGAAATAGCAAGTTAGAAGTAACTACAGTTTGGGTTGTCGAGATCGCAAAAATCTTGACTTTCAGTTGACATAAATTGAACGAAGTAATGCGTTCGTCTATAATGATGTTCCGTTCACCCTTTAACTCCCATGAGTGACCGAGACAGAATATCTCCTCACAATATCAACACAGAATCAAGCAGAAATTTTGATTGCGATAGAGAAAAATACATTCTAAATATCAAATTATTAACGCGAGTAATTTCACCAAGCAAGAATCGCATGGAACTACCGGCAAGTTTTTGTTCCTCTCATAAAACGAATATGCATTTTTTCTTTTCAGTTAGTGTTTACGACAGGAAACAAATTTTCCCCTCGATATCTAATACAGACTTTGGCACTGGGTTAACAATAAAAGAAACAAATTGACGGTTGTATACGTTATGTATGGAAATTATGCAAAGAAAAGACAAAAAAAAAAAAGAAAAAAAAAAAAAAAAAAACGCCAGCATTTCATTCCAGGTTTGTGAAACAGACGCTTCCATTCAGAACTATAGGACAGGAAGACCTTATTAAGAAGTGGGCAGAGCGGCGAATGGTTGGTGAGTTATATTTTTTCATTTTTTTTTTCACTTTTGCGAAACATTTGGTACTCTTTTCCGCTTATTAATTTATGCAAATAAAAGTATGCCAATACTCAATTGGACATATGTTGCATTATACATTCGCATAAGAGGTTATCTTTTAACCGAATTTAACGCGCCTTTAAATCATCTCCGCCAAGATGGCAATTGCAGGTAACTTTGGAACTAACCAGTCCCGCAACCAGGAGAATAGTTCCGGATTAGGGACCGTTGAAATCGCAAACTGTATCCTTAACGCTCCTCTGATGCTCGTATCCATCATTGGCAACGTTTTGGTTCTTGCCACCATATTGAGGACTCCATCGTTGCGTTCGCCATCCATGATTTTCCTCGGTAATTTGGCTGTTTCAGACCTTTTTGTTGCCCTTTTCGCTCAACCGATTTACATTTTGGCTTACATGTATACAACAGGAAACAATTATCTTGGCCGAGCAACTCATGTTATGGGCTTTTCTGCTTGTGGAACCTCTCTTTCGACAATAACAGCTTTAGCCGTCGACCGAGTGTTGTCTCTTCATTATCACATGCGATATCCAGATTTTGTGACAACACGTCGTGCCTTGTGCACTTCAGCCACTCTTTGGTCCATTCACGTGCTGATCTCCTTGTTGTCAACTCGGTCAAAGAAAATGTATTACTTCGCTGCAACCGTTTCCATTTCAATATGCCTTTCAGTTTGCAGCGTTTGTTTCATCAAAATTTACAGAATTGTTCATAAGCATCAGTTGCAGATCAACATTCAGCAACAGGCGGTAGAAAGATTGAATGAAGCCTTAGAAAATAATCAGAGGGTGACTAGATCCGCGAAAGGTGCCAAAAACATTTTTATCTACTACATTGTGATGATTACGTGCTACACCCCTTTGTTTTCTGCATATTTAACATCAGGTATTCCACAAATAAGATATAGATTTCGATGGACCTTTCCAGTAACCGTAGCATTTTTGAACTCTTCAATAAATCCAGTCTTGTATTGCTGGCGACACCGCGAGCTCCGAAAGGCAGTCTTGAAAACTGCAAGGCTAATTTGTTTCAAGGGACAGATTGAAACTAACTAACACCACAATGTGCTTAAGGACGCATGAAGCCTCACGTTAAAGAAAACTTTAGCAAGAGCTAGTTTCACTGGAGGAGAGCTTCCCTTTGTTTAAAATGGATAAAGCGGCATAAGTTCTGTTATGAAACGCCTGTTTGTGTATAATGTTGAAGATAGAAGTTTGTTATCATCGAGAAAAAAGAGAAGAAATGGTAAAAAATAAAACATATTTGTAAAAGAGCTCTACCTAATATTGTTAAATTCTTAAGTTTGAAACCCAAATGACGTACTTTTCTATTACAGATCGAGTTGCTTTATTTTTACGTGATGAAATTTCATAATATTATACATAGACTTCAAACTACAACTTAAATTTATTGCACTTTTTTTTTTACACTCTCTGCATGGGTTTGCATTGAGTTTCTTGAAATTACAAAGCAATATAGACTCACTAAGGTAGATCAAATCCCTAAATTAATTATTCAACGAGTTATTCGGTAAGTTAATAAGGGACATCGCTTTGTTCCAGAACAATTCATTTCCTTTTAAATTTCAAACAAACAAAATGCAATTTGCGGGCTCCTTAGCATATCAATTAAATTTCCTTTGACATTAGCCTATGAGTTTGAAAGAACAGCTGCCTAAGAGCAAAACAGCGTCTTCATCTGTCCGCTTAATTACAGAACTACAGAGACACATTTCAAGTTTGAACTTTTAATGGTTCATTTAATTCTAACTTCTTTGCCGCTAATGTGATCACCAACGGATAAAAAAAACCTATGTTAACAGCTTTTATTATTTACTCGCCTAGAAAGTTACTTTTAGAACTTAAGAATACTAAGTGAAATCGTTTGGTTAAATTACAGCTTAGGATAATAGAGAATTTTTTTTTTTTTTTTTTTGATGTGGTCGCAATAATTATTTGTCTAGTGGTTTTCTTTGCATACTGATAAAAGAATATAGCCTGTGTGCAGCCATACCCTCCCATAGCCCGCAAGGTGAAACGAAAGCGAGGGAACGTCTACGCAAACCTTACACTAATCGTGACGTCATTCTAATTCATGCAAAATAATGTCACTAAATATTTTTTTTGCAAAGCGGTACGTGTTAGCGTGAAGGTTATCGAGATAAATGAATCTGTAAATGATGGCCCATTTTTGGGGGTGATTTTCAATTCAGCGTCCGAGTTCAAATATATAATTTGCTTTAGGATATAGAGAAAGATTAAGAGCGATTTTTAGTATAGAGTAAGAAGAGGACGGTGTTCGATTACCACCGCGCTTACGAAGCTAGATTTCAACGTCCACGCGGTTTCTGATTGCATTTGTAAACAGTGCCACGGTCGTCGATAAAAGTTGGATCATTTGCCGCAGAATCTCAAGGTTTTTAGATATTTCTTAAAGAGATAGTTACGCTGCAAGCGTGAAGAAAGACTGACTCTTTTCTCAGTCGAAAGAATCGCTGCAAGAAACAAGGAGCTTAAATTAATAACTTTGTAGCGTGGTTCGCAAAGAGACCAAAAGTTGAAGGCAGACAATCCTCTCGGCCCAAGTACATTAAGATAGTGCACCTGGTCTTCTGGGAGAGCTTTAACGAGCAGCACGATAAATATAGTGACCGGCTTTTTCTAGAGAAGAAAGGCGATCGATCACTGGCGTTGCTTGATATATCATATATTTTCCATAGCCATTTTCCATAGCCAGTTGGTAACGAAATGGAGACATTGTTACCTTCGGAAAATATATCTGTGGCTTTCTGCTGTTCTTCTTGAAATGTCTCTACTCCAGAAGTCGCAAATTTTGTCTCACAACCTCGTCGTAAAGTGCTGTTGTCTGAAGAGTTGACCGTGAAAGCATTTTGTTCACCATCTTGTTAGTTAGTATGAATATAAATCACCAACTCTAGCCAATCAGAATTGACGAAAGAATCGGCAAAAGAGGTTAACCAATAGAAGGTCATTATACATTTTCTTGCAAAAGAGTGACGTCACGGAACACGATTAGTATCAGGTTTGCGCAGACCTTCCATCGCCTCCGCTTCACCTTGGGGGAAGGGGGGGGGGAAGGGTACGGCTACACGTAGGCTAGTAAGTGTAGGGAAAAAGAAGGCATATATGGTTGTACACTTTAAGGTCCTCCAGTGACGAGGGTGATTGGACCAACTTTTGTCAGTCATCTCAACAGTGAAACGTAAGTTATCTCCACTACTCAAGACAGAGATGGGCAATCATAATGAAGAACGGCCTTTGTTAAACCTTACACGTGCATAATTCAACGTCCAGGAAATAACGCGGGAGAGACATTTCGTTCAGGGACTACTGTCATCGTGAGTAATGTCCTTACCTTTCCAATGATGTCAATGTCCAACATTGGAAATTTGTTGGTGCTAGGTGCCGTAAAGAAAAACACTTGACTTCGCTCTCCTTTCATATTGCGCATGAACTGTCAAGTAACTTATGGTTACGGATAATTGCATATTCTATGATCTTTTGGGCACGCGGAGTTTCCCTCCTTGGGATGACTGCCATAAGCGTGTATCAATTTTTAGTTCTACATTACATCACGTGCGATATAACTTAACAATATCTGCAAATCGAGCCGCGCACGTATCCCTAGGTCTTTGATTTATTGGCTCTCCTGTGGCAATATCAAGTTATTGGGAAAGTGTTCGTTTCTTCTACCTGGTTGTTTCTATTTTGGCTTGCCTCACCATGTTTTCCTTTTGCTACGTAAGAATTTACCGAGCTCTTCGTCGCAATCAACTATAGATTCATGATCAAGAACGAACTGTGCAGGAAATTTAACATGGAAGTTACCTATTCCTTCTCTGAAAAGTACCATAAACACTCTTACATACTTCGTTGTTATCCTCGTGAGCTAGTATGTCTTTACCTGTTTGCATGAAAAAAAAATGAGTATGGCTCCTTCCCTCTAGACAAAGCCATGGAACATAACTGATTCTTTAGCCTTCAAAAACTCGAGCATTAATTGGTTCTTATACTGTTGGCGCCTTCACAAGCTCCAGAGGGCAGTTTTCAGAACAAAAAGACATATTTTATGCCAAAAACCTAACGAGACCTTACTATTTAGGGCTATAAATGTCAGTAACTATGCTAGTAATTATACCATATGACAAGAGTTCAGCTCATACAGCTTGATTCAGCTATTTTCCATTCTTTTTACTTCTTTCATTTCTTCAGTAGAGTCCCTCGAAAGTCAAACCATTTTCATATTATGATAATAGAAATAATAATCATGAAAAGCTGTTGCAAAGAAGAGATAAGGGAAAAAATCACCTTTTATTGCTGAAAGTTAATTAAACGGAATATTAGAGTAGTACGAACTATAACTGTATTTATTTATTATTTATTTATTTATTTATTATATAGCAAGGGTGCCAATTTTTAAACCAAAACAATTATAACAGAATGTGTTTCGGAACAAAACGAATTTATAACAAAATTTGAAAGCAGCTGCGCAGTTATACTAAGAAAATTGATCGGCTCAGGCGAAGTGAATTTTTCAATTCGCCTTCGGCCAACAATTGTTAAATATTTACACAAAAAACTCTTAGACCTTCAAACCTTCAGGGCGTGATTACGGTGCTGTTGTATGCCTGAAATTTCTCTGAAACCTTTCAGATCAAGTTCTGAGAGTCCCTCTTCCCGCGCCACCCCTCCCCCCCCCCAACAAAATGGAGAGAAACCCCCCACAGCACTCAAAACCTTTTCTAATCCATTCAAAGTTTTCTGTTTTCTTTTCAAGCTTCGTGTGGCATTATAAAGACAATAAAGGAAATCCTAGTATTTAGCAGAAGGTCAATGTATTGCATTAGCGACCTGCAAATCTTGTTGAATTTCGTTCGGTGCAGACACTTCGTTTTCAAAAATAGTTCCATATGGTGATCCCTTAAGGTTAAACGTCAGTTTCGTATACGTTTGAAAGAGCATCAAAAAGCGGTTTTCTTTTGCAAAAAAGAAAATTCTGCTTCATCGGAGCACACATGCTTAACTAATTATACAATTGGGTGGGATAAGTCTAAAATTATCACCACTACTCGGCGTTACCACTAGCGCCTTTGTTTGAAAGCTTGGCATATTAACTCCGCCCACGGTCCTTTAAATCGTGATGATGGCGGCTTCCTGACGCCTATTTATACCTCGTCAGAAAAAAGGCAGCTAATTAGTGATCATATAAAAGGATCTCTCGTTGCAGTTGCAGCGTTTAGATCACCCCTGACGAAGGCACTAGACAGGAGTGTCGAAACGTTGGGTCTATGAATTGTAACTTCTTCGGTTACATTTGTTAAATCTGTAAACCAGAGTAGCATCAAACCATGTCCGATTGTCCACCTGGTTGCCATGTGAACTTTAATATATTATAATTCATATTGTTCGATAGGGATTTCTGTTTACGTTTAGAGACAACGTTGAAATTCATTTTCACGGACATGAAATGTTGCAATCAAAGAGCCGACACAAAAACCGACTCTGGTTGGTCATTGGTCTAATCTTGAGTGCAAGGAGATTTGACACGGCTTAACCCTCAACTCTCAGATCAAATTTATAATTCTCCTTACTGTCAATCATACAATTCTTATAAAGTTAGTTCAGAGAATTTAGTATTGGGTCGACTAATTATCCCCAAATTGATATTTTTCTTTATTCTCATCACTTATCTGGTTGATATTGTAAGGAGAAATTCTGTCTTGGTCTTTCATGGGGGTTAAAGCTTTAACTACTTTGCTACATTATCGATACAGAGCTAAGCGACAGAGTTCTTAACATTGCGCAAAAGAAGTCCAGCTCTTGCAATGTCAGATACAGGATTTATAACTACGAGAACACAGAGATCGACTTAGTTACAGTCCGGTGACATCTGGTAATAAAACCTATTTCATTATTTGATGTAATGTAATTAAAATGATCCCAAACAGTATATTGAAGCTGGAAGAGTGATATAAACGGTCCAGTTTTACACAATTGGAAATGCTTTAAAGTTGCTATCGATGTCAAAAAACGAAAAAAGAAACCTAAATCAAAGCAAAAATACAAGTACTTAAAATGAGTGCTAAGCAATTAACAAAGAAAAATTTGTTCCATGCATTAAAAAACGTTTCAACTTTAGAATTTGTTTGCAGTCAGCTGCCTTGAACTGTTTAATTTTTAAATAGGAATTTTTAAATCTAGTGTCGTCAGTGTGTGGAACACACAGGTTTATCCGCGCGTGTGTTCTTATCTGTTTGCTGCAGCGATGCGTTTCTCGGCGAAAACAGATAATAGTAGGGATATGGTTTATATTCGCTGAGCCATTCCGTAGAGGGGCGAAGGGTTGAACTCACGCATGACTTCTGCACGGTATTTGAAGAGCCGGGGTAAAACTTTCCCTGAGGAAAAGAGTGACGTTCCCCAACATATGGATAATCAGCGAATCTTGTTGCAGCTGCTCCAAACGTACAAGGCATGGGACCTGGCTGCATTCTGTCCCAATGTAAACGTGGGCCACATCCTCTTTGGTCCTCAAGCGGGCAAAGCTCTCTCGAAGGGCGTTTACGAAAATCTCCCTTACTAAACCTGGCCATATATGCGGGATGGATGTGCCAGAAGCAGCTTTTGCCGTTGGCAGCAACGTCTCCTTTGACGAAGCATTCGTGCAAGGAAAGATTATGTCGAACTGTGTTTTTCCAACCAGCTCTGGAAACGGTGAACTCTGGATACATTTTCTCTATAACTTGATAAATCTGAGCGAGAGTCAGTCTTTTCTCGGGTGAGCGCAGAATAGCACTGGCGATTAGTGCCACATAAGTCATTGAAAATCGCTTAGATTTTGGCCGACCCGGAGCCACACCAGGGTGAAATCGCAGATCAAATTCTTCGTATCTCTTTCTATCTTGGTCTTCTGCCTTATGCTGGATGCTTGCACACGGTACACAGCCAGGAGGAGCTGGTAAAAACGGGTTAACGAACGAACGGTCTCTCAATAACTCTGTTTCCAATGTCATCGGTCGGTTTGGCATCCAAGGAAAAGTGAACTCCTCTTTCAACCCAGGAAGGCTCTTGTAACAAAATGTGGGCTGCATTACAAGAGGGCGCTTTGATTCTGAAAATTTCTCAAGTCAATTCCACCTCGACACCACTTCAAATACAACAATGACTGAGAGAGGCACTTCGTCGGAATTTATTAGCCATGCCACTTCAATTCACAACGGGGGGAGCTGGAACAGAACCAAACAAAGAGAGGCGTTTAGCCGACCTTGCCGCCACTTCAATGGGTTACCGGTAACTTATTGTTCGCCCACTCCTGAATGGGTGACATCCCTTTTATTGAAAAAAGGCGCGTGACAATTTAGTCGAAGTACGAATTGAATTGTTTACCTTTAAAACAGCTTTTTAGGTCCGCACCATCTCAAAATGCACTGTATTATGTTATACAAATTGCTATTTTTTTTCCTCTTTTTACAAGGTAAGAATGTATACCTTTTCATTTTTTGTTTTATTGAATACATCGTAAACAAAATACTACAGGAAAATATTCAGCGGCAATAAGGTTGAGAAAATTTGAACAAGCGATTCCGTTTACTAAAATGTTTTAAGAGTAGCCATTTGTTCTTCGTGCTTCCGTGATTTCTGATCTATTATATTTTAATTGTAAGCTGTTTCTAAAAAGCATTGAATTCAAGTTTTTTGTGAAGTGACTAGAACACCCATCCCATGCAAATCCACAAGCACTTTAACATGAGAATGCGTGGTGGTTCATCAATTATTCAGACTGCGGATACTACCAGTACGTTCGCAATAAATGAACCAGAACACTTACATCTCCTAAAATTAACATCCTTGCATAGCTATAAGTAAAGCGTCGATGTTATTCCACATCATTTTTGAAAATCTTACTAATGGAAAATTCATTAATGATGGATTTGTTACACTGGAGCATTTGAAATTGGGCAAATCTTGTTATCTGTTTAAGTACGATTCAATAAACTTGAGAAGCAAACTGGAGAGACACGAAAATCTAACTTGAAAAAAAGGTTTTTCTTGGTACAACTTAGCCACGAGGCTTCTTAAATATCGTGGTGAACGGATATAAAATAATTCTAAACAACACATATGAAGTCCTGGGAGTCATAGTCTTACGTACTTATCTCTAATCTAAATGGATCACCGATTGACACACGGCAAACAGAGCATTTCAACAAAGGCGGGTGTAAACATGCAAACAAATCCAAGCAAAGCGTATTCAAATTGACTATTAGCCATTTGAAAACTGTTACGTTTACCAAAACAACTTAAACTTCGATTTTGAAAACTGAATAGGAGGCGGAAGAAGAGCGGTTTTAATCTGATATAGATTTTAAAAATAACGAAAGACGACTTTAGACTAATCCAAATTGGATTAAAAACTAGTAGAACTGCTTTATTCCATGTACACTTTGCTGGCCCTCAACCGTGCTCTGCACAATCTTCAAGTTGATACAAATTTCTTTGGAGGTGATAGATTAGAATTTTCATGCAAGTGCTCGGTTTACCATTGAAGATATCGACAAACTCTTGAATTAAATTAGTATTCCAACGGCATCTCGACCTTTTTTCAACCAGCACGTGGCGAGACAAAACAAAGAGTTTACGGTATGTCGCCGCTATTCAAAAGAGTTTTTATAGGTTTTTAGAAAATCTACATCTTCTCCAACAAACGGCCAAAGAGAACGGCTAATGGAACTTGCGGCGAAACAACAGGAATCTCCACAAGCAGGAAACTGACTACTGACTTTCACATAAGCGACATCACGCAACCGGTAATTTTGTTTTGACGACGTCTTAAAACTAGTTATTTATACCCAATTATCCGCTTTTGTCAGTTTGAAGAGCCAGACTTCTACTTAGTGAGTGATCGCGAGGAGGCTTGAAATTTTAAGGTAAGTGAAGTTGGGCAAAAGCTTTGGTTTCTCTGTACAACTGGTCAATAACATGGCCATATTCTCGCGAAAAAAGCAGTGAAGATTTATTGTATTAATAATTGATATTCTTCGACGGCCTTTCTTTCATAATCAAGACCATCTGCCGAACGAATTTCACAGTATTTCGATCGAATAATTGACAAATTTATCGCAATGTGACCATCTAACTGAGAGGACGAGGTTCTGCCAACGAGAGGATTTTTTACGTATTGCTGTACGTTCATTGTGAAAATAGAAAAACAAAATAAAACATTAAATAAACAAAACAAATAGGTTAATAAGATTGCGATCCGAAAAAAAATACAAGGTGTGACTAAACAAAATACTCCCTCAAGTAATGACATGTTGTCATTAGTTGAAATATAAGAGACCCTTAAAATTGTATTTGTATTGAGGTGACTGAAGGTAATCGACGTTTTTGAATTTTTGCACCAGTTTGTCCGCTAGGGCCAAATGGCGTTGCGTTCATACACATAAAGATGCATACTCAAACGAACCAGAAATGAGGGGTTGAAGTTTAAAAATATGGAGCTTTCTTCTTGAATAAGCACGATCTTCATATCCACTTTCTATCCATGTAGTTGACAATCCAACTCTTCAGTTATCGAATCTATCTACCCCAATCCCAGGCAAAAATGAAACACTTAATGCCTAGTCATAAATACACAAAACAAACTATATTTCCTAAGCTTGAAAAAATGGTGAATTGGTCACAGTTCCGTTATCTATTGTGTTTCACTTTGTATATTTCGGTAAACGAAAGAGGATCATATCATAAAAAATGCATAAAGTGTGAAGATGGGACAAATTTAGAACGCCTTTGTGTAATCATAAGTCATTTTTGCTTTGGCTTTCCCGCTCGTAACCTCAATAGATAACCTGTTATGCGATATTTTGGCAGCGAATATCATCAAGGAGGTTTCCAAGCAGGTTTCAAGGTTAAAATCACCTGTATCGCTTCATTATGAAGGGGGTTTTGTTATCACAGGCACACTTTAGAAATTAGTTGAGAGCTAAATTTAAGAAAGTATTAGGAATTCACTGTTTGTCACAAAACACTCTGACAACTACCTTCTCTAATACATTTTCAGCCAATTATGACAAATCCGATTTTAATTTGGCTAAAATAATTAGATGGTTCAAAATAATCGACCACCTAAATTGTCAATCAAATGGGATTTCTCTTAATTAAACTGACTTTTTGAAGGGTTTGGTAAATTTATGAGAAAAAATCTGAACAGAACGAAGGGAGTGTTTTGGACTGAGATAGAAGAGAAAAGATTTCCATAACAGTGCTTGAGCAAAGCGCTACAAATCACTCATGGTGCTGTTCGTTTTCAGCTAAAAGGCAGTCTTTTCAAGTTTTTATTCAGCGGAAAATGAGTTTGAGGGAATTAAAAATGTCATCTTTAGGGGTTTATAATTATCACGCAACACTTGTACAACGCATCAGCAGGACATTCAGCAAGCTTGGAAGTGAAACGTCAATACGAAATTGTTTTTACGACCTGCCACACATTTATGTCAAGTTCAACGTCATGATTTCATCAGCTCTGCTTTGCGTGCGTCATTTTTGTGAATTCGTCCCACGCACTAACGACAGAAAGTCTGGTAAGGAAACGCAATGATCGTTTCCCACCGCTGGTAGAGAGCATAGTTTAACAAAAGCATTGTTTACACATTGTGTAAGGCGAAATCAATTTGTTATTGTGCGCAGTTTGTGCGTCATGACCTCCACTAAGTCGGTGTACCTCCCTTACAAGTTCATCACCACATTTAACAGGTGTAAACAGCAAAATCCTTTTAAAAGACATTCAATCTCGTTAGTTAAATCTTGTAATATGGTCAACAAAAATAGATTAATCTTTGCGCCGAGACGCTGTAAGCTTAAGAATCGAGCTTCAACTGAAATTCAACGTCACAGATTTCCTGTCGCAGAGGTTCTGTCAATTTCTTCATTACTAAGCTCATCTTTTCATATTTTTTTGGAGATTTCAATATTTTTTCCCTAATTTCTTAAGCTTGTCTGGCGTATCCGATGATTGCACCACTCAAAAGCGCTCATAACCCAAGAAATGATTTGAAAGTCATGTCAAATACTTCAGCTTCTCCAAAACCTGTGAAATACAAACGTATGCCAACAACGAAGATAATAACTTTGCACTATTTTGGATGTACAGAATTCTGAGCCATTCTTTATACGTTCTAGCCAGGAATATATCCTATTGAAAGAAACTATGTACCTAAGATTCAAATTGTGCTCAGCACAGCAAGAGCTTAAAACACCACCGTTGGAAAGATAACTGCATTTGGAAAAACGAGACTATGGTGCTTCGGACCGATACTCGAGGTAATTCCTACCGAAAGCGATATTAAAGATTTTTTTTCTTCCTTTTTTCCCTCTTGTGTTTGTTTGATCGGTGGAAGTTCCTCTGCCATCACTTTTCAAGTACATGCCATGAAGAAATTAATTATGATTGCATCGCCACTTAACGATTTTCCAATGCAACTTAGAGCTACTTAAAAGACTCATCGTAAGTACACCAGTAAAGCTAGTGGAGTTCTGACGCATTGCCCTGTTACTCTTTGTCTTTATTGTCTAAGGAACGAGGAAGAATTAATCTATTTCCGAGTCTTTCGCACGCTGGAAAATTTTCTTTCTCTAAATCTAACTATTATCTTGCCTTTGCTTTTTCTAGATTTCATGGTGCTTTCCTGCGTAAGAATCTGTCACCTTTTTTTTTTTAACTTTTTTTTTATTTATCTTTTTAGCCTTCCTCTGTGAGGATGCTTTCTCAAGATCTCGTAATGCTTTCCTCTGTAAGAATCTGTTATCTTTACCTTGAACAGCAGTTAGCCTTTTTAGCTTTCCGATGTTGAAACTCTTTGATGTAAGCGCCCTGCCAAATATTTACTAATAGAGTTGCAGGAAAAAACGGGAACGCATACCTGATATGCTTGTATTCCATAAAAGCAACAGCCTTGAATGTTCCTGAACTTTAAAGCTTCTTGTCTCGATAAGGTACTTAGTCAAATACATCTTTAAGTTTACATATTGAAGAAAACTTTTCCATAAAATGCTAGTACGATCAGGGAGAAAGATCCTTTGCTTAATTAACATATAGAGCAAACATGTACATTCAAAACTATGAAAGGTTTCGAGCAAATGCCATGAACTTTAAAAAAACTCTCCATGTATACATGCACTCGACTCAACCCCTTTGAATCCGAATGAAAAATTCCTTAAAAGTTGAATATCGGCTAGGAACCGAAAAAAAGCCCCAGCGGATGGTTTTTAAACTGATCATCGCACAAAAAAATAATAAAAACAACAAAAAAAAAAACCACAAAAAAATTGTTGACTTTATAAACGACGAGCACAAAATCCGACAGAAAATAAAATCAGGGGACAGAATACTCACACTTTAAGTATCGAACCGAAACAAAACGAACCATCTAAAAGTACCATAAATCTGCCGTGGCCAAAAATATATTAAACGCTCTGCGATGAATTACAATCGCCCCACCAAAAATCCTAGTCTCTACCCATATTTAGAGATCTGGTGTCTGTCGTAATCTGACATCGTCGATAGTGAAAAAAGGCAAAGGAAAAGCGATCACAAAAACCGCGTAAACATGTTTTTTTTTTGTTTTGTTTTTTTGTTTTGTTTTGTTTTTTCCATGCAATGATTCTAATCCCAATGATTATAACAGAAATATTTGGGTTTAATAACTACAGTACCCTGCACAAAGAAAAGCTAATGCTGCATCCAATCATATAACGAGTTAAGTTTCCTAATCATATAGTATCCGTAGGTTCCTATTTTTGGATATCAAAAAAACAAGCCATATCTCTAACTAGTCTTAGTTGGGAGTTAGAAATAATTTCTCGAAGATTCAGTGAATGTTACCTACGATGAAACCGATCAGTGACATGGAGATTACTAATTTATGCATTTCTAGGGAAACATATCAACCCATCTTATATGTGATCAGTGTTCGACATCACAAACTCATTACTCCGACTCAGCTTGTTTCTTTAAAACTGCAGTAACTCTAATTTGATTAAACAACATGTATTAAGCTTAAACGATAACGTTTCGACTTGAGGCCTTTTGGGAGTAAATAAACCTGATATTACACTGATTCTCTATGTGATAACGTTCCGATACAAAACAATTTACTCAGCTTAAGTTAAATTTTTTCACTCATCTCTTTCATATATTGAGTATTTGTAAGAAATGAAAATTTTCTATTTTATTCAATCCATAAAACAACATAAAGCCTATATATTCAGGAATTTTAAGTATATTTTAACCGAGCACCGCATTTCATCACCAAAGTAACCACTATAACGTGTCGATTTAAAAGACGGTTTACATAGCCTAAGTTGGTTTCTTCGCTTACCTTTCGTTTGTTTTTGGAAAAGAGATTAAAATTTCTTCTCTGTCAAATCAGTGAAAAACTTAAAGTATATATCCTTCCGTTTTTAGGAGTATATGCACCTGTTATTTCCCCATCATCCTCGTTATGTGATAGCGTTTCGATATCAAAAACAATTCACTTACCTTAAGTTAGTTTGTTTTTTATAACGTTTAAAACTGACATAATCTCCTGTTTAAATTTCGTATTTTCCTACTTTAACGTATCTAAAAACAACTCACCAGTATTTGTGTGCACCATCCGAGCAGATTAAGTTACCCTCGATTGAAAACTTAAATTAGATCTGGAGCAGGTTTCACAACAACACCCGCAGGTAAAAATTTTGCTTCAGCAAAATTATGCTCACACGGTATAGGCTTAAAGGCAGTGATCTATCAAACGAATCTTTTCTCTTGTTTAATTCGTTAACCGTTTGTTAAGTCGGTAAGCTATAACACGTTCCCGCAATGATCTAGTTAACATAAAACTTTTACGAATAGCACATCACTGGACAAGAGTGACACTATGTCAAACACAAAAAAAATAAATAAAAAACATACTTTCTGCTTGGAATCAAACGTCAATAACAGAAAGAAATTTATACCCTCGAGAAAAAACAAAACAAAAAGATTTGTGAGTGCATGTCAAATTAAACTCCTTCATTCCTTAAGCCTTTCTCGTGGATAGTGGAATCATGAGAGGGGAAATTATTATGAGATTTCCGATCAGTATTGATAAGATTGCACAAGAAGAAATGAGAAAAAAATTCCACGCACCGTTGGTTCTCTTTCAAATATTTGAAAAGTGACATCGACGTTGTAAACCTTGGTTGATAAGTATACATCTCTAAATTTTTTTTTTTTTTTTTTCAGTTTTGTTCTTTTTTCTTTACATGAATTCCAGCTTTACTGACTAGTTGTATGCTAGTAAACAGGGTTATATTTCTCGTTCCTTTTTCAATTTTTTAGCAATTTTTTTGGTTGTTTTTTGACAGGTTTCCCCATTACAGGGCCTTTTTCTTTGCTGGTCTTCTACGATTGTATCTTTACGACTGCCGGAGAAAGGTTCACCATAATTCGGATTGGTTCACATTACCAGCAATGTAGAACGTTTTCATTGGAGTGTGTTAACATCCGCTAAACATTTTCATTGTCAGTCATTTCTTCACGAAAAAAAAAAACAGTTTGAAGAAAGCCGTAGCTACTTTAACCAAAATCTCGCTGACAAGATCGTTTCCAAAACGGGCCTACATCAAGATTACTTTTTGTGCAATAAAGGGTAGAATTTATTTGTATCATGTCTGTTAAAGCAACCCTAGATGGGAAATAAAAATACTGAGGATTTCAATAACTTTTACGGCAATCTTCTAGTGTGTTATAATATAGAGCTAATTGATCTGATACATAATTATCTGCCAGTTTAATTAACTTGACGGGGTTATTTCAAGCTTGTTTCTCTTAACGCAGTAGGATTTACTCTAATTACACCAAAAATTTCAAAAGTAAGCAGATATTTATCAGCCTGGTTCAATGGCCTCGAGGGGGGGGGGGTTGCAAGCATGTGAGTCTTACCACAGTGAAGTTGACTACTAAATACATCCAAAAGTTGCAAAGAGGTCAACAGTGAGTAGATATCTTTAAATTTGTCTATGATGATTCAAAGAAAATGCAAAACCAAATCAGTCATTTTTTTCAAATGCTAGATAGAAATTGAGCATATATCAGCTATCCTTGTGTTTCCTGTGTCAGAGGTCAAAAGATTAACCCTTTCCATCCTTCATCAACATACATATTCTCCACACTGCTCTCTCAATCAAGGGCTTCTCACGATCTTGATCATTTCCTTTATTCTCATGACCTCAATGTTTGATTCAGGGATGATACTGTAAAGAGAAATTAGATGCTAGTCACTCTTACGAGTCAAAAGGCTCAGGTAAGTCTTGTATTGCCGTTGTTTCAATGTGATAAAAGGAAAGCATCGATGACAGGAAAGAAATTTCCTTGTTTCAAGAAGCAAAAAGCATGGAAGATATATGATATGTGTATTCATTTAAAAGATTGACAAGGAGACACTCACTCTTCAATCGCTTTCTATTTTCTGTCTAGTACAGTCACAGTACTTTCACATCATTCGGTATTCATTCAGTAATATACCTTATGTTGGTACAAGTACTTGCTGCTAAAGTACTCAATACACCACAACTGAGATAAAGGATCGCTTGCTCTCCAAATGTATTCAATTTCAATAAGCCAGTGAAATAATTCATAGTGGTTTGTTCAATTAATGTCACCCATCGTTTCAAGGTAAAGAGCTCAATATATTTTCCATGTATATTTCACTGAACTGGTTGCTGTATGTGAAAAATTCTACAACTAACTGCACCTGTTAATTATAAAACCATTTTCTTGTTTCAATGTAGAACCAATTTTGTTAGCAAAAAATATTTGTTTTTCTTGTTGTTGTGGAATTTCCATTATCAGAGCACAGTACGGATATATATTCATTCGGATATAATGTGCGTAGCGTATTGACATTTCTGGCCTGCACTGCCATTTTTCATTTAACCAACATGAAAGGTAGCTTGTGTTTGTATCAACACGTTTGTTCAGTACAGTAGTCTAAACATTTATACTTTGGATATTTAAAAATAAGGGCACGATAGCTGGCTTACCTTTGTCTTAAAAACGTGTTATGAATCCTTCAGATACTATTTAAACTGGCAATTTCGAGTTCGTGTTTCAAAGAGGTATCGTTCGTCTAGTGTGATAACGTTCCGCAGGTCAGAAAAAAAACCGCTGAAAATTGCCGTGGCCGAGCTCCTCTTTGTATTCTGAACGGGTGAATAATTCCTAGAGGGACATCTTTGCTCCAAGTTATCACACATCTTCGTTTTTGAGAGTTTCTCATAGCAGTTTCTGAATTCCCGCCATGTTAAAAGCTGAGTAACCTAGCAGATGTCCAAACAGCGAAGGACTGGTGCACAGATAGTAGATAAAGAAACTGAGGCAGGGGCGTTGGAGGAAATTATTTTATTCTCGAATTAATTTTATTTATTTTAGCTCTTTAAATCAAGCATTTTTATCTATGTAAAAAAATGTTTACTAAGCTATTGCAAAAAAAATTGTAAGATCTTTAATATATGTATTTTTTAAAATTTTTTAACAGATACAATGCTTTATAATAAACAAATTACTGATTACCCTTGATTTGCCATCTTTTTTTATCTTTAAAAAATAATATATACGCTACCAGTACTTACTTACTTGTGTGTTTGTTTATAACTCGTGTAAAGCAACTTATTTTTGACAGCCTGTAATCACACCACCTAGTGATTATAACGTTAGCACACGCGCAGACATTGGACCACTGTTTTAACTGGGGAGAGATTTTTCAGGATTATTTTTCTCCCGTTTCAAGCGAGTAAGAGTCAGATCAGATAAAGGACGCTGACACGGTCTTCTTTTGCAACAATATTTTAATATATATATATATATATTAAATATAAATATATATTGTGGCCAACGATTTCTACAGGTTCTTCAGCACGTTTCGCATAAAGCGACTTGTTCTTTACGATATGAGCGGCAAGGGCAGACACGGACAACCCCAGGCCTGGCTGCTCGGCAGCTGAACAACAATGGCTGAGTCTGAAGTACACAGCTGCTGTCTGTTGTGTTTATTGACGGTGCCAAGATGCTCTCTCGGTGAAAGGTTGATTTACAATCAAATCCAGAACTAATGAAGGTGAAAAATATAGTGAGTGATTCTCATGATACCCAAATTTAGTCAGTTAGAGCACTTGCAGCGAAATTCAAGGGAAACATTATGGATACTACAACAAAAAGAAAAAGAAAAAAATGTGTGGCTTGTTTCCTGCATGCGTTGACTAAAGAGTAGTTGAATGGACGCATTCAAAAAGTCGTTCATTAAAAATCTAAAAGAGTCATTCATAGTTTGATCTGTTATTTAGCCTACTTTACGTTACACATGCTTAGGTTACATCAAGATCAATTTTAAAATATCTTACTGACTTCGTTGTAAGGTGTCGATTTTTACCTTTCAAGAACTTCCTCCACGTTTAAAGAGAGGAAGAACTTCGGCTCACAGATCAGCTGTTTTCTAAGGCAGGTTACAATGCACGACTGACCCTTCCCTCCCACAAAAATTTTTAATTCACTCAAAGGCGGCCAATTGGTAGGCTTGCAAAAATCCTGGTTAGATATGAAGAGAAAGTAAATTTAGAAACTGCGTTATCAAAACATCGTGACCGTTTCGTCTCTACACGGTACAGAAGAGATGATATATTAAATGTTTTACCTGTTTTTCCACATAAGCATTTACTCTCTCCAACATACCAACATGAGTAAATTCGTAAGGTAAGTGAGGCACACCCTAAAATAGAAACGTTGGAGATACAAATTCCTTGTTGTTTTCCCAATCTACTCCAGATATCCAGCTAGTGATATCCGTCTCTACTTCCTATATTTTTAGTTTTATCAAGTGAGTCGGTGATATGAATTAGTCATCGCTGGCCATTGACCAAAACTAGACTTGCAGGGTATGTCGCGACTGAACATTGATATTTTGGCTATTTTTCTTGTTTATGTATTGTTTCTATATTTTTCTTGTTCGCATGTATTGCGTGCCATTAAAAGTGACGTTATGATCATGTGATTTTTTTACGCGACCACGTGGTAAATAAAATGGATGAGTTAAGAAATACAATCTTATCTTTGTGGTGAAGCGTTTTACACAACAGGGTAACTAACATATCACTTCAACAATGCATTTCGAATTCTTGGTCTGCAGCTGAGTTTTAACACCAAGCAAAATTCTCACGGTACGTGAAAGGACAGATATAATTACCTTGGCGTTTCTAATGTCTCGGAGAGCTTCTTCAACCTCAGTCAAGTTTTTTATGTCAACAGTTTGTACGAAAGGTTTCCCAACGAAGACCTCGGCGTAAGGATTTTGAGACGTAATCTAAAATAGAAAGATATTAAATGAGCAGTTCAGTGTCTCCTCGAAACTTCAATTCAAGAGCAGTTCCTATGCATCTGCAGGATGTTTGGGAGTACAACTTCGCCGACTTAAATAAAAGAAAAGTCTTTTATGATCACAAACCCAACACCTACCCACTTTTCTGGGCTAATATTACTGTGCTGCAGACTGTAACTTCAAACTATCATTTAAGTTCTCAAATATTTGGTTCAATCTTTAGATGTACTATACATAAGCTACTTGGAATTTAGAGTCCTTTATGGATGTCTGAATTACCTTTCTATCCATCGGTTTGCCACCAAAAAAGCCTGCGATACGGTCCAAGGGCGGAACATACTTATGGTGAAAAAAAAAATAAACATTCAATAATGAAATAAAGATATGAATACATAGATAAATAAAAACTGAAAAAGGGATTACAGTTCTCCCGATCTATGGCTCCGGAAGGGGAGGGAAAAGACTTTCTTTGCAAAGTTAAAATGACTTCGAACCTTAACTTGCAGCAAGAATTACTAATGAAGCCATGATTACGGACTAATTATTGTCTATCTTTGGGGGAGAAGGATGAGGGAAAACAGTCGTCGTCGTCGACAGAGTATAAAAGGAGGACTATAGAAAATTATCTGCCACCGAGCCGCCGATGAGGGGGTGAGGGAGGGGGTCGAGGGTCGAGGGTCGAGGGTCGAGGGTCGAGGGTCGGGGGTCGGAGATCGGGGAACGGGGGTCTGGGGTCTGGGGTCGGAGAATTTTGTGTGACTATAGAAAATTGACTGCCAATTAACTGTCAATGTTGGGGAATTACAGGAATAAAACAGGGCCTTGTGGCACACAGGTGTAACAAAACAGTTTCATTTTCTTGTCCGTTTTCCCTTTTTTTTTTTTTAGCTCGCACGCAATGTTTAGTTTTTCTTTGACCTTTTTCCAGTTACGAGGGCCTCAATAGGGTTTAAAACCAATAGCCGTTAGGCGTAAAAATTGACAAATTCTAAACGTTAGTCGTAAAAAAAAATTACCCTGTAAAAAGCTTTTGGTGACCGCAATGAAAAGATATCAACCATTAGCCGTAAATTTGGCCAAGTTTTTAACCGTTAGCTATAAAAGCCATTATGCCATTGAGACGCCTAGTTACAAAATAGACATCACCTTGGGATTAATGAAAAAACAACCATTAGCCAAGGCCTCAAGGGCTGCTGGTCCTTCGAACGGTTCACCAAGCCCTACAAATACCTTAAGGAGAAAAATTCAAAATAAATGAAGAAATAAGAAGAAAAAAAATCATTTGAGGTTAAGACATTTCAATGATTTTGTTTCCTTGTTTACGAAAATTTCATCAAAAGCAAATATGCGTTGTTAAAATTGCTTAAAAGGAATGGAAAACAACTAAAGAAGAGTTTTTAATACCGAGGTGACAAGTGGACGAAACAAAGGAACTTAAAAAAGGGAATCATGCTCGCAAAAAACAAACAAGCAAACAAAAACAAAAATAGGAAAAAAATAACGAGAGCCTCCTTCAAAACTAGGTAAGATCGTATAACTAAAAAAATGATTACAAAAGCAAAAAAAAAACACTTAGTTGTTTTAATTGAAACTGTAATATAAAGTTGCATAAAAGAAATGCTATAATAAGTCTTTCATGTCAGTTCCGCTGATTGTCGCTTTGTAACAAACTAAACACCTACCTTACTAGATTGCAAAAGATTCATAAGCGATGTGATATTGATTATCCCATGGTTAATGACATATCTAGGCACATCATGCTGTCGCTGTGTTTCCTACGAAACATCGCAAGTAAGAATAAAATCGAAACGTCTTTAATTTGGTGTACAAGTCAGTATACCCAATTCCATCCCATAAACTTCACCTTCAAGGCGCGGCCTGGTAAAATTTGATACGCATCGTTATCAGAAGGATCTCCAGATGAAAAATACAAAACCATACTCGGGCGCGAATTTTCGTAAATGAGGTAGGAATACTATAAAAGTTATAATCGAAGGTGGATTAAACTGACATTACTTCTGTGTATATTTAATCAGATACGAAACTAAAACCAGTCATCTTCCGGCTCTGACGAAGGACTAACGCTCGAAACGTCTGCTTTAAAACTCTTTACGGTGGCCAATTTACCTTACCAACCCAGTCAATAATACTTAATTACTCTGTTAGAACTAATCATGAATTGGCAACAAGCGTTTTTCTCGGTGGTCCCCCAATAAGGGATCCACTTTGGCTGGGGTCTGAGCTTGCAAAGTTCTTGACTCAAATATTACTTACGTTCGTTCCGCTCAAAGTAGCGTGAACCTCGTTGAAGTATTTTTTCACTGTGTCAATGTAGTTAGCACGACCCTGACGATGAAAGGATAACGCGTGACATGAGTACTAAATGAGTTTTTTAGAAATGGACAATGTATATGGTTCGCTAAAGGTGTCTGAATGGAAAACAATCGTCTCCAGAAGAAAAGTTTTTGTGTCGGACTAAAAATCCTATTGTTAGATTCTAGCCAAGGAAGTGGAGTGAGCGTAGAAGACCTCAGTGGAATCGAAACGATGGAATTCACAGGTAGAATTATGACGGATACGTCGCGTCTCAATCGACCCATCAGACAGCGCTATCTGTTGGATTGTCGTAGACATAAGACACGCCGGGCCATCCTCGCTGCGTTCACTGCACTGATATTTATTCGTCGCCACTCGAAGCTAGAATAGTTGCTTTAAAAAATTTCGTGGGGCTCACCTTCCAAAACGCTGGAACCTTTCCATATACTAAGACTCGATTATTTGGCTTATTTCGACTAATGTTATTTTCTTGAGCTTTTGACGGAACAGCAAAACCCAGGAAGGAATTGTCAGGACTATGTGCTACAAACGAAAAAGACATATCATTGTTTCTCCAGCTTAACAATTAGGCCTAAGTTTTCCGACAGCTGAGTAAAGGGAATAAGCTCTTAAAGAAACAGCAGTACTGCATCTTGTTTTTTTGTTTGTTTGTTTTTGTTTTGTTTTGTTTTGTTTTGTTTTTTTTTGGTGGGGGAGGGGGGTATAACAAGGCGATTTTGTTTGATCAAATGAGTAGGTGATGTAAATTGCCCACCGTAAAGATTCTCCAAAGCTGAAGTTTCGAGCGTCAGCCCTTCTCAGAGCGAATGCTGACGAAAGGGCTAACATTCGAAACGCTGATTTTCAGTAGAAACTCATTACGTTGGCCAATTAACGTTGTCAACTCAGTTCTTCTCGTCCGTTTCTTTTCAAAATTCGCTCTCATGGTCTAAAAATAGAGAGATCAAAAATTTTCAACCAATATTTGACTATTTACCTTTAATTTGGAAGTTTGTCATGTACAACCAGTGCTAGTTATCAAACCAGCGTGTTGCGCTTCCCTCGAGGTAAAGGTAATTTTTTCCATTTCGGGGAAATGTTATGCTTTCTAGACTTTGCGAAAAGTTGAAAATTCTGTTATGAGTTGATACTTACGGAACATAGTCATAAACTGTGCGAGGTGAAGGTCCAGATCTCCCCACCCAGATCTCCCTCCAGGAATTTCCCACTTGTAACGTTTATAGTTAAATTCTGCGTCTGTTCCAAACGAATCTAAGACACGTAATTTGCACCTGCAGAACGAAATGTAAGTTAACCATAGTCATCTTCTTTTGAACTAAACAATGAATTTTAATCGTCAACGAAACAGATAAATAGTGCAGATTAAAAAGTAATCAAAGGAAACTTAAATTGTGACGAGAATCGTTAGTATTATAATGATGTCGAATGTTGTATTTTTCAGGAACTTAAGAATAACGCGAGTCCCGGCCCAAACCGGTTCTTATCTCTGAATTTAAGTTTTAAGCTTCTACAACAACAACAGTCGGTAGATATGAGGACTTCTCTGTGTCTTTGAAAGCGGTCGACCCGTTTGCCTGTTTCTTTATTTGATTGTCTACTTGTTAATCAGTATGGTATCGCTTTGTCACTCGTCAGTCTCTCTGTCTACTCGTCTGTGTCTTTGTCTGTATGCCTGTCAGTCTGTTGTTTGTCTTTCTGTTCGTCTGTCGGTCTGTCTGTCAATCATTATACCTCTCTCTCTGTTCAGTTTTTTTGACTGTCTCTTGATCTTTGTCTTTCTGTCTGTCCATCTGGCTGTCTATTTTTCTGCCTCTCTGTCTGTGTCACTTTTTGCTTATTTGCCTGTGTGTCCGTCTTTCTCCTTGTCTGTTTGCCTCTCTGTTCGTTTAATTATTTGTTTTATGAGCCTCTTTTTCTGTCTGTCTTTTTGCCTGAGTGTCCGTCTGTCTCCTTATCTGATAGTCTCTTTGTCTTTCTGTTTGTCTACCTCTCTCTCTGTCTGTCTTTTTGCCTGAGTGTTCGTCTGTGTTCTTATCTGTTGGTCTCTCTCTCTCTGTTTGTCTACCGGTCTGTCTTTCTGTCTGTTTATATTTTTGTCTCTCCCTTAACTGTCTACGAGTTCTTCCCTTACGTCTGTTGGGCTGTCTGTTGTCGTTGTTGTCGCTGAGGTGGCATGTTTTCAACAGCTTGATTGTTGTTTCGTGCATGACCCATGCAGATTTATCGAGAACATACTCACTTGTATCGCGAATAATCTGGTCCAGTGTGTCCAGCTATGGCATTCACTCCCAAAATGTCAGTGAAAATGAGATCAGATTCATTCTGCAGTTTTTGGCGCGCACAACCATCTAAAGCCGGAGCAACCAGGAGGCTAAAAAAATAAAAACTATAAACTCAGTACCTATTTAAAATCTTCTTTCGTGCACGAGTAGGTTTATAATAAATTAACAAGAAACTAAATGGCAGCAAAAAACAGAAATCAGCTCAAATAATTGTAACTCGTCGTAACGATGAAAAATGGCTTAGAAAAAATCATATCAGTCGCACTTGGCGTTCTTGGAAACTATTCAACCTAGTTAATCCTTAAATCAAAATTGAACTTCTCTTTACATTTATCCTGGCTATTAAATGTGAGAATAGTTGGGAAAATCAAATTCATAACATGCGCTAAAAATCGGTTAAAATCTTTCGCAAACTGCTAAATCAAATGTTGTTAAGCCTGCAGATGAAATCATAAAAAAGAGATGTATCGTACTGATTTGCGCTTTGGTAGAAACTAACAAGACAATGAGAGGCCTGTGAAATCAATAACGTTCTTTACCTTTGAACTTCTTCTTTCATAAGACCGATTTCTAGCTTGTGGCCTAAAATATACAAGGCACTTATAAGGTCAGACCACTGAACCAGTTCCCCTAAAGGGCCTCCCTTGAAGGCCCTATCCAGAAACTTGTTCCCCTCTATTGCTGCCATGTAAACCAAAATCTATCAAAAGAACGAAAGATTTTCCTTTCACGCTTAAGAAATCACGACAGATTTGTTGTAAATTTATTAGAGGTTTATTTGAATGAATCTAAACATCCAATTTCCAATTGCAACTATTGTTGTAATTTAGTGGTCCCGGGTTGAAACTCTCAATATCTATCCACACCTAAAAGCATTTCGCCTTTGAAAAATGGCAGTAGACTCTTACACCTTTTTTCTTCTTCGACCATGTAAGTTCACCCTCGATCCAAGTTCTTCAACAGCCTTTATCCAATGCGGAAAAATTTCCTGGATTCTCCTCTTCATCCAAGAATATTTGGGTCTTTCAAACTTTTCAAGCAGTGCTGATAGATTTGTTTGTATAGTGGCCTGAAAATATAAAATAATAATTCAGAAAATATTTGATTCGCTATCAATAATAATTCTTTGATCAACGCACATTTCCAATCTTTTTATTTCACCATGAATTTAAAAGAACGATGCAAGTTTGAGGATAAGAGAATTCTCTTCTGGATTTGTTTAAAAACAGAGGGCCGTTTATTTACACGAAGTCTAACCCAAACCAAGGTTTTACGCGAACAGTGGGCCTCAGGCTTTCTCTATCAGAGATTTGTTTTAATGAAATAAATGTCCTTCCATTCGGCCTTCTTGACGCTGTTCACCAGTTTAAATGTTCAGATAAAAGGTCCAGCTAAATTAAGGATTGTTTAGGACGCGGTTTTGTTAAAAACGACGGTTAAACTTTCTTTAAATTATAAGACCAGAGAGGCCATGCATTAGGGTAATAGAGTGTATTTCTTCGAAAAGACAACAGTCAGTAGGTAGGGCTAAGCGAAGTTATAGTGAACTTTGTGTGGGGTCTGTCTCTAGGACCTTAAAAAAGCTGACCCTTTCTAGGAAAGCCTCCTTCATTTCTTTAGTAGGCTTGAATTTTCTAGTCATTTCAACCTCAGAGAAACAAATTTATATTGCAAATGTTGAGTAGATATATATTAAGAAACAGTTATTGCTACTAAAAATGTATTCCGGTCTAAAAAGATAAAAAAAATACCGTCCTCAAGATTCTAGATAGAAGTATTCCTCGTTGAAGATTTTTAAAGACCTCAGACCTCAGAGACCATACCCTGGCCAGCCTGTTTAGTCCAAACAAGGGAGTGCCTTTCGACCTCCCGGCTGATACAATTCCAACACCTTTGATTAATGTAAGAGCCATTACCTTTTGCCATTCTCTTTCAACACTGTATGGGTTTTCGTCCAGTCGCCATGGTAACACGGGACACCAAGCTTGAACCTAAATGATGAAGACAATTTGAACGAAAAGCAAGTCTTTCGTTTAATATCAAATGGCAAGATAGGAGCAGCGCCAAGAGATGGAAAATCTTTTGAAAAAGCTCAGTTATTTTCGATTCAGTTAAGGCAGAAATACGGGAATGATTGAATAGCTTCTAATGGAAGACAGTGACAAGTATACGAGTGTATTTTAGAACAACCAGGCGAAAGGCTGACCCTCAAGTGGATACCGACGGTCTCTTCGTACGAATAAGTTGTGACGGATTCCGACAACTTTCCAAAGTTTCCTATGATAATAATGGAATCAGAAAAGATGGACATAGGATACCGTGATACAACACACTTAGGTATTCATTATCTCTTGCATAGGTTCTTTTTCTTTTGGCCTGAAAACGTCCCTCAGATGCAAATTCAAAATCTTGATGATTTTTTGTTTTTTGTTTTTTTTACCTTTACCCTGGACTTTACTCGGTTAAAAAAAACTTGTATTGTACTTTCCTTAAGAGACTTTTCTCACGTTCTAGTCTTACCTCACTTAGATACTGAATAACAGAGCACAGACTGCTAGGATCCACCTTATACTTTTCCCCATGGCATTTCTGGTCCCATGTTTTGTTAAATTCCTGTACAGACGGGACAAATGGAAACAGGAAATGTTCTTCAAGGGACGAACATCAGACAAGTATCACAGGACGTTTTGCCACTAACTATGTGAATAGCCGGAATAGGAGCTTTTCAACGAAGCAGTGTGACAGCAAATCAAAATAATGACACGTTACAAATCATAGGGAGCCGATCAGAGTTCATAGTTCATGCTTGAAATCGGCCTAAGAATGCGAAACCGTGACTGTTTAGGTGCAAAGGGTTATAATTTTGCTTCCTATTGTTTTAGACGCTGGATCAGTCGCCGAGTACCGTGGAACCGCAAGACCAGCTCAATTATGGATCACTTTTCGAGTACACAAGATTGGCCATCCGCCTTTCCCTCTTAAGACAGAGTAGAGTTCTTTGGCATCTCTATTTTATGACCTTATTAAACATGGCATACCTTAATTTTCCAATGGCATAAAGGGAACAAAGGGTCATCTGGTACGTGACACTTCTCCCCTTCATCACTGGAAATAGTTAGCACTAAGAAAGGGATTTCAAAATGTTAGCAATAATTTAAAAAATTGATCATTATATTATCCAATCGGCTGAGCCAAACATGAGTCTATATATGGTTGAATAATCCGAGCTCAGCCTTGGAACAATCACATGCAAGCAAAGTCATTCAATCATGGTAATTATAACATGAATAAGACACAACAAACGCTCTTATTTGTCAAGAATCTATCGTACTTCTACCCGTGAACTTATAGAAAACAGAAACATCTTCGTGTCCTGTCAAATGGCGCCACACGGGGCGAGTTTTCAGATTCCGATTTGTTAAAGATCTTTGGCTTGGAGTAATCGAAGAGGATACTTTAAACGCCAAAAACAACGACAAAAATTATCACATTTTCTTTTCAAAATGCAGTTTAACTAACTGGTTGGTCCATGTTAAGCCTTTATTTCGCAAACTTTTCTCACAAATAAGATATCTTAAAGTTCCCATTTAACCAGGTGGACCATCAGACATGGTTTGATGCTACTCTGGTTGAAAGATTTAAAGAATGTGACTGAGAAATTACGGTTCAAAGACCCAACGTTTCGACACTCCTGTCTAGTACCTTCATCAAGGGTGATCTAAACGCTGCGAAAAGAGGTCCTTTTATAAGTTCACCAATCGCTGCACTTTTTTGTGACGAGGTGTAACTAGGCGTCAGGAAGTAAGCCGCTATCATCACGATTTAAAGGAGCGTGGGCGGAGTTGATATGCCAAGCTTCCAAACAGAGGCGCTGGTGGTAACGTCGATTAGTGGTGATGATTTTAGACTTATCCCACCCAATTGTATGGTTGGTTAGGCATGTATGCTCCGACAAAGCTGAATTTTCATTTTTGCAAAGAAGACCGCTTTCTGATGCTCTTTCAAAAGTGTACCAAACTGACGTTTGGTCTGTCCGATATAGTCGTGATCATAGTCATTACACGGAAATAGAATTAATAGCGTCGGTTTGTTGTTCTTTGTGACAGGATCCTTAGGTTTGGCAAAAATACGCCCCAAAGTCTGAGGAGGATTTTTGAGCAACTTTAACGTTGTGGCTATTCAAAGTTCTCTTGATGGGTTCCGTAACACCCTAAACGTAAGGAATAACAGCCAAACCAGTCGCTGGTTCCCTCTCATCAGGAGTGCTACTAGTTGTAACTGACTTTTGGCAGTTACGGAGAAAGGTTTTGGTATAATCATTCGCTCTAGGACATTAGAAACATATTTTCTCCCCTAAGCCTTCGAATCAAGTGAAGATGGTAGACAGTCAGCCCTCCTGAGTAAAGTTTTAGCAATAGACTTTTTTATAGCAAATAGGGTAGTGAAAGTTGAAAGCAAGGTATTTGTCGGTATGGGTAGGTTTACGGTAAACACTTGTCTCTAAATTCCCCTGTTCACCTCTGTACACATTTAAATCAGGAAATGACATATGTCTATCTTTTTACGCTCAAGGGTGAATTGGACAGACGGCCCCACTGAAATCAAATGCGATGGGAGGCGCATCGCTTCATTTCCGAATTGTTTCCAGAAAAAGGGTTTAACCGGTGAAGTGGCTAAGGCCCTTTGTTCCACGTCTTCCATAACCATATTGGCAATGACAGCAGAGACGGGCGAACCCATAGCTGTACCAAAAACCTGTTGAAAGTAATTGCCGTTATATGCAAATTGCGTGGTTTTGGGGCAAAAAGAAAGCAGAAGAATAATGTCCCCCACAGGCAAAGAAAGTCTTTGTCCTAGTGAAGCATCTTCTCTGAGTCTCTCCTCTGCAACTTTAACGGCAAGATCAACTCGGATTAGAGTGAAGAGCGAAACAACGTCGAATGATACCAGTTCTTCGCAAGCGTTAAGTGTTTTATCTTCTATGAAATCGGCAAATTCGCAGGAAAGCAACCCTTTAATTGCTGTTGTTGGTCTGGGCGATAGCACTACCAAAGAATCAATGGCTGCGTTTGGTGTTTGTCACTCCCAGCGAATGATTTATTTTGTCTTGTGATTCCTAATTTGCAAAACTCGTAAAGATAAGTAGGTTATATTGTATTTGCTTTCTGATTCGATTACCCTGCTTAATGTCCAATCAGTATGCTTTTAAGAGGTTTCATATAATTAATTCTTTTTTTCGAACAGTATGCTCTGAAACAACTAGAAATGGATTTGTGGTTGTCGTCAAGTAACTGCGAAATTATTTTATGTTGTTTTTCTTTCAATTGAACTACTGTTGTATGTTATGTCTCTATCCAATTAAGTTCGCGTTTTCGCGTGAGGTTGTGTAAGAATTACATAACGTCAGTAACGTTTTATTTCTTGTTAGTATAAAGCGTTGTTTCCGTTAGATAATTTTCGCTGCTAATTGATTTCAACTAAGTCTGTCGTTTTGTTATTTTTTGCTAGTGCCGTGTTACCTTTATTTAAGAGTCTTTTTACCTCACCTGCGGTAAAAAGACTCTTACGTCTCAAATTGTAAGTTCGTTTCTATATCCTTATTGTTGTTACATCACATTTATACATCTACGCATCTTTACATCTAAATGTTTGTCTATCTGGAAGTTAGATGTAGTATGGTACAAGTGTTTGATCGTGGCATCCAAATATCGAGAAACAAATGAAACCTCGAGGCCACCTGTATGCAGATCAGATTCGCTGGACTTTGCTTCATCACGTGTCAATACGTTTTTGACAACTTGCATTCCATATTCCACACGCAGAGGGCAAACACTAGACAGAAGACCTTCGATCAAAGAGCTTACATTGTTATTCCCAAGTGAAAACTTTCGAAATACGACCCTTCTATCTTCCTTTTATGGAAGGAAAGAGACCGCGCATTATATCTTTCCTAAGGTTTCGTGGCGATAAAATTTAGCTTCGGTTTTGCTTTTAGCAGGAGGTATAGCAGTTTAATTTTGCTTATAATGATTCAGACAGGTGTCTAGATAAACCGGAAAATCATTCACACGA